TCTTATTTGGCCCTGATTTTTCTTGAAACAAAAAAACCTAAAATGAAGCTTCAAACCCTAACAATGGCAATCAGTTAAATACACATCAAAACAAACAATTAATCATGCAAACATGTTATAAATGGTCACACAAACATAAATGCATACTTGAAATTCGTTTATCATGCGTGTATAGTCATAATCAAATTCAAGAATAAGAGCAAAATGTGATACTTGTAGAGGCTGTTTCTGGATGTGTTGATGCATGAGAGTGGTCCAGATAGCTTCCAAATACGCCTAGGAGTGAATTACAATCTTTGAAACGCCTTGAATCTCCCTCTAAAAAAATTTGATCACCACTTTCTTGTCAAAGTTTTGAGGTTCTTGTGGGTGTTCAACACAGCCAAATCTTCTCTTTTATGACCAGTGTTTGTTATGCATATATAATAGAATGAATTAGGTTAACAAAACTAAACTGAATCTTGAAGATTGAGTGAGAAAAGATTTGATTTGGGTCTTGTATCTTTTGTTTCTAAGATAGGCCAAATCTTGCTATCTTTACTCCAACGCGTTTTCCCTTTTGATTTTCCAGCATATTCATTCCTTAATTGATTGATAGAAGATTCTTTCGATTGTGGGCTTTCTGGCTTTTTTGGAACAAATCCCCTTCCTTCCTTCGAATCTGCCTTCCTTTCCAGCCTTAAACTCCCATTCAAACCATTCAAGACTTTCCTTCTTAGAACCTTGTTCTCCTTAATGGTTTTGAGTCGAATTGTGCCAGCTTCAATACTAGGGCTCCTTCAATTGGACCATACTTTGCTTCGATTTCCTGTCCTTTTGAAGAGAATTCCCTGGTCGAATCAGCTCTTTGTATAATTGTGAACATACAAGGCAAGAATCTGGCCTGGACATATTTTCCGAGTGCCCTCTTGATGTCCTCTTTTGAATGGCCTGGAAGGAGTTCTTCGAATGGCCCTTGTCCAAATACCAATCGAAGGGTATTTATTGGAATGTCAACCGAGGAGTCCTTTTCTAGCCAATCGAAAGGCTTTGACACAATACCCATCGAAAGGATTGTCATGAGGCCAATCGAAAGGCCTTTTGCAGATGTCAATCGAAGGACACTATGTAGATGTCAATCGAAGGACGCTTATGTAGATGTCAATCGAAAAGCATTTTAGAGATGCCAATCGAAAGGCATTTTGGAGATGCCAATTGAAAGGCACTTTGGAGATGCCAATCGGAAGGCACTTTGGAGATGCCAATCGAAGGGAATTTTGTAGGTTCCAATCGAAGGATACTTAACCATCATTTGAAAAATTTCCTTGTCTTTAGGCAAAGGTTTGTAACCACCTATACAAGAGGAAATCTTGAAAAAACATGAGAGGGAAAATTTTGGGGTACAACAGCTGCCCCTGTTAAGTCTTCTTAAACCTGAGGATGTAGATTGGCTGGTCTGCCTTTCGTGATCGGAAGGTGGAAGATGATTGAACACTAAAGTGCCCAGAAATTTGCACTCGTCTAAGATGCTACTTGACTGTTTAGATAGTATTGGGAATGGGCTTATAGATGCCATTTGGAAAAGATGACATAAGATCGTCGGAGATGGGCTTAAAGATGCCATCAGAATGTGATGGAGAGTCATCGAAGATGGGCTTAAAGATGCCATCCGGAACAATGATGATTTCATGAGATATCCCTTTGTGGGAATTCCTGCTCTTGCTGTTAGAGAGGACTCCGCTGAGGAATGTTGGTCTCTGTCTTGGAACATAGAGTTTTTAGGAGCTTCAATTATCCGTTACTCTATTAGGGAGTCATCACTTGATTGAAGAGATGGAAATGAGCTTCTATCTGGTCAGAACCCAAGCTTTACAGTGGCTTGCTGAGGATAATAAGGCTAACTGTTATCTGGTCGTGCTCCAGGCTTCACAGCAAATTACTAGGGAGATGAGATTAAATTGTTATCTGGTCAGGGTCCAAGCTTCACAGTGTCTTTCACCAAGTTCCAAGATGAATCTTCAAAAATGTCCAACATAGATGTTGTATAGGATGTTACAAGCTTTCCAAAATTTCCAAGAACTCATTGAGATCATACTTGATTTAAGAGAAACGAAGGCAAGAAGTTAGGGTTTCAAACTTGAATTACAAGCCATTTCTTGATGAACATATAATCCAATCTCAATGTTAGGCTGCATAATCTTGCTTTGCAGGCCTTTTAAATTATGTATCTATCCATCATTAATGGATTACACAAACTTTTGAGCTATAATCTAAGTGGTTTCAGCATTGTCCAATTTAATTTTCCATTTTGAGAAGAAAGTTAAGAATGCCATTCTTGAAAAGCAAGCTTTATGCACAAAGTTAATTCTTGAGCCTCTCACTTGTTCCCTCTGATCATAATCCATCTAAAAAGTCAGAAGCAAGTTTGTTTAAAGCATAACCACTCTATAATAGCAAGTACAAAAGGCATTGAAACTTGATTTCTCAAGAAAATCACATGTTGAGCTTAAACATGTGATTTTTAATTCTGATCAAATACAAGTCTCCAAACTTGTGGCTTATAAATAGAGGCCCTATTTGCAAGCTAAGACATGAGCTGAAGCACCCTAAAAATCTCTCAAACACTTGCAAGCCAAAAATTATCCAAAAACTCCATTGATGCACTGATTCTGACTTTGAACTTGAAACTCACAATTCCCTCGTGCATTTTCCTTCCTAATCAATCACAAAGCTCCTATACATCAAGCATAGTCCATCCCTGACCCTGTTACACGACTGTAACACCATTTTCATCAACCTCCATAACCAAAAACAGAGAACTGCAAGTTGACTTCTCCAAGCCATTCCGGCCATCCATTGCTCAAGCTAATCATTGCATTAGCTTCTTGGGAATTTGAGGAAGCTAACCTGATCATTACAACACCTTGAATCAAGCTCATTTGCATTTCATGATTTCCAGTTTTGAGGTTGTAGAGGTAGAAATGTTCAAGACTAAGCCATTGGATTGACTAGACTTTATACAAATCAAAATAAAAATCGCCACCGCACTTTATTGTTTCCAAAGGAATGGGAAAAGAGCGAATAACCCAAAAAGAGGGGGAAAGATTCAAGGTAAGGGGGTTGGTTATGCAAAGGGAAGGTATTATCACCCTAAACATCTATGGTACTTCGCAGGAACCTCTTTGAAAAATCTGTATATTTTGGATATAAAATATGTTGTATATAAAATGGATGGTGGAGGTGAGAAAAGAAATATATTTTTTATGATTTTTTCACCCGTCGCGGTTGCGAACCTTTAGTGCCTACATACCACCTTTCATGCAATAGGGGATTAGGGTACACGTAGTTCCTCTTTTAAAAATTTGAAACACAAGTGTGTTGATTAATTTTAAGAGATAAGACATCATCGTCATTGTCCGTGTGGAAAACATACTTACTACCCACAATCATGAGAAAGGAGAATTTGCATCATCTCAAAGTGAAGGATATGGCTTGGATCTTAAAATCAACAATGCCTCACTCAACACCCAAGTGGAAAATATCTCACTTCACTACATATTGTAGAAGTCTAGTTGTTTGCATCACTACAAGGATTGACAAGAGTCTAATCTTTTGAGAAAAGTTTAAAGATAAAAGCCAAAGTGGCAAAATGGTTTGAAATAAGATTGATTGACTTTTAGTCTTCTCACAAAAAATGTCAAGGTATTATTAAGTTGATTGAAGTTCAATGATGAAAATGTTTTTAAAATGCATGGACCTAAGTCCAAGTTTATTATGAAAGTGTTTCAAGTTTCAAAACAAGAAGGGTTTTCAAAAGGAGGGAGAAGATTTTTGAAATTAAAGAAAATAGGAGGAGAAGAAGAGACTCTCCTAAAGCATAAGGTAAAAGCTAAGGATAAAGACCATCTAACCAACAAGAAGCCAAAGCTTTACATTATGAGCCAAGATAGAATTCCCATTCTTTGGATTGAAACCAAGCAAGCAAAGATAGTAGACCTCTTCAAGTGTATTAAGTCTTCACAAAAATTGGGCAGAGTAACGACTGTATACAGGTGAATTCCAGATTACAAACAGAGAATGTAATCACAAAAACCTGCACACAAAAACAAACAAGCAACCCAATTTCTTGAGGTAAACCTCAAGAACTCCAGACAAAATAATTAGATAAGATCACAAGGTCTCCAAGATAGGCCAAGGTTTCTAATCCTAAGTCCAAGAAATAGTCCCATGCTCCATAATGCCAAGGATAGTGACCAAATAGTCCAAGTACCATTAAGAGTTTTTTAGGGTTTATGTTGATTATTAAGTATCTTAAGAAAATAAAATAAAAGCTCAAGTGAGCAAAGTAAAAATGACAAGAAAATAAATGCTCAAATAAGCAAAGATGAAAATTGTATGAAATGTAAATGCTGAAAAATAAATAGTACATAAAGCATAAAAAGAATAAAATCATAAGATAAAATAAGTCAATAATTAGTGGTTAGTTGGATGACCATCTTGAAACTTGCATTTAGAATACTACGCCAAAAATAAGTTTTAGCAGCACACATACGAAAGCGCTGCTGTAGGTTTTAAAAAAAATTCGCTTAAAAAAAGCGCTTTCAAAGGGTGCCTTAAGAAAGCGCTTTTCAAAAGCGCTGCTAAAGGTCACCCTTAGAAAGCGCTTTTTGAGAAGTGCTGCTAAAGGGTGCCTTTCAGAGGGTACCTTAAGAAAGCGCTTTTCAAAAGTGCTGCTAAAGGTTAGCCTTAGAAAGCGCTTTTACAAAGCGCTGCTAAAGTTGGCCTTTAGAAAGCGCTTTTAAAAGCGCTGCTATAGGATATGCTACGAAAGCACTTTTATAGTAAAAAGCGCTGTTATAGGTGACCTTTAGAAAACGCTTTTAAAAGCGCTTTCGTAGGTAGTTTTATAATAATTATCAAAAATTCGTATCATCACTTTTCTATTGTTCTTCACGAAATCATCAAAGCCCTAAACCAGAGCTCTGCCGCCGTTAGCATCTACGAGTAGATTTTCGTCACGATCACCACTTGCCATCGTCTTCTTGTTCAGGACCTCTACCTCCGTTCATCAGGACCTCTGCCTCCGTCTTCTTGTTCAGGACCACCGGGGGAAGTTTCAGGACTCCCTCATCAGGACCTCCGCCTCCGTTCATCAGTACTCTTTCATCAGAACAACGACCACCACTTGCCACAGGAGAAACGCAAGGTGAAATCACAAAGTTTGTTGCATCAGAAATCACAACAATATACAACACAAAGTTACACAACTCAACTCTAGGTATTTCAATTTCTAGTATAGTTTTGTATGAATAAATTGTTCTATGCTTGCTTTGATTCTAATTTCTAGAATAGTTTTGTATGAATAAAGATGTGACTATCTTCTAATAATTCTTAGAAATTGTTACATATTTGAACTGACAACTCATCTTAATTTTCAACTTATTTGTGTGGCTACTGGCTAATACCTCACATATTATGAATATATATTATTTTTACAACTTCTATGGAATAAATATTAGTAGAAAACAACACATTTTCATGTGCTTTTTATTTTATCAAACATCATTTATATTAACAAGTTGTGCATTGGTAAAACAAGCTAAGAGAGAAATAATAGAGAGCGTAACAAAATATTTAATAAAGGTAGCCATATATATATATTGTTAACTCTATTAATATATTGTTTTTTTCGTGTGCTTTTTATGATTGATTTTGAGCAATGATAGTTTCTTGTTTATGGTTTCTTGTGTTATACTTGTGTACTAAAGTAGTTGATAGAATAAAATGAATTTAGTGAAAAGTATTGAGTATTGATTTTGTTATATGGTTGTGCAAGAGCAAGTGCAAGTTTTGAGTATTGGTTTTGTTTTCTAATTTATCATTTAGCTCAGATTGACTCAGAAACCGTAAACCATGGATAAGACATGGATGTATTCCAATTGATTGTCGAAAGAGTACGAGAACGGGGTATCGGAATTCGTTAAGTTTGCTGTTGTGCATGTCGAAGACCCCGGTCGAATGACATGTCCTTGTTTGTGTTGCTGTTATGGGAATCGGGTTGACGCGGTTCAGTTGGCATCGCATTTAATACGGTATGGAATTGATAGAAGTTATACATGTTGGAATATGCATGGTGAGAAAAGTGACGGGAATGATGAATTGGGGGATAATAGGACGTATGCTTCAAACGACAATGGCACAGATACATACGATTATGATCGAGTTGAAGAGATTGCAGAAGCGCTTGAAGAAGATCTTAATGATTGTCCAAAAATGTTCGAGAGGTTGGTAAGCGATGCATAGAAACCGTTGTATAATGGTTGTACAAAATTCACAAGATTGTCTGCGGTATTAAAGTTGTACAACTTAATGGCGGGAAATGGATGGTCGGATAAAAGTTTCACAGAGTTATTAGCCCTTATGAAAGATATGCTACCAGAGGATAATGTTCTCCCCAATCGAACGTATGAGGCCAAAAAGATGTTGTACTCTATTGGCATGAGCTATGACAAGATACATGCATGTCCAAAAGATTGCATTTTGTTTCGAAACGAGTATGCATCGTTAAATGAGTGTCCTAAATGCGGTGCCCCTCAATATAAGAAAAAGTTGTCTCCGACAAAAGTCTTATGGTATTTTCCTATAATTCCGAGATTTAGACGGATGTATCGTAGTGAAACCGATTCAAGACACTTAACTTGGCATGCAGATGAAAGAATTGTTGATGGAAAGTTTGGACATCTGGAAGATTCACCACAGTGGATGAAAATTGATAATGATTATCCTGAATTTGGAAAAGAAGCAAGAAACCTTCGCTTGGCATTGTCTACTGATGGAATGAACCCACACGGTATTCAAAGTATCTCGCATAGCACATGGCCTGTGATTCTTATGATTTATAACCTACCTCCGTGGCTATGTATGAAGCGTAAGTACATGATGTTATCTATGTTAATTTCTGGGCCTAAACAACCAGGAAATGACATAGACGTATATTTGGAACCTTTAATCGAAGATTTGAAGATTTTGTGGGAGAATGGTGTGGAGGTTTATGATGGGTATAGGAAATAAAGTTTCAACTTGAGGGCGATGTTGTTTGGAACAATTAACGATTTTCCAGCCTACGGAAATCTATCCGGGTATAGCATTAAAGGTGAAAAAGCGTGTCCTATCTGTGAAGATGGAACCGATACAATGAGATTGAAACTTTGTCAGAAGAATCTCTTTCTCGGTCATCGTAGATTCTTAAATTCTAAACATCAATATCGTGGATGGAGAAAAGCATTCAACGGAGATACCGAACAACGTAGAGCTCCGCCTGGATTGACATGTGATCAATTATTTGAAAAGGTGAAAGATGTGAGTATTCAGTTTGGCAAGCCTTTTGCATATAAAGTTGTTACAGGTGGGTGGAAGAAGAGGTCATTTTTTTTGAATTGCCATATTGGAAATCTTTGTACGTAAGACATTTTCTTGATGTTATGCATATTGAAAAAAATGTATTTGACAGTGTTATTGGTACGTTACTCAATATAAAAGGGAAGTCTAAGGATGGTCTTAAAGCAAGGGAGGACATGGTAGAGATGGGAATAAGAACTGAATTGGGACCCGTGAAAAAAGGAACACGAACATATCTACCACCTGCTGTTTACACTCTATCCAGAAAGGAGAAAAAAATATTGTGTAAGTTCCTAAGTCAGGTTAAAGTTCCAGAAGGCTACTCATCAGATATTAGAAGACTTGTGTCTATGCAAGACCTCAAGTTAAAGAGTTTAAAGACGCATGATTTCCATGTTATAATGGAACATTTTCTACCGATAGGTATACGTTCTATTCTTCCAAAAAAAGTAAGAAGCGCAATAACTAAACTGTGTTTTTTCTTCAAGTCAATTTGCAGCAAGGTGATCGATCCTGAGATCTTACCAACATTGCAAAAAGAAATAGTTGTTACTTTGTGTGATCTTGAAATGTATTTCCCTCCCTCGTTTTTTGACATAATGGTTCATCTTGTCGTTCATCTTGTCAAAGAGACACAACTGTGCGGACCAGCTTATATGAGATGGATGTACCCTACTGAACGTTATATGAAAATATTAAAAGGGTATGTGAAAAACCAAAGTCGACCAGAGGGTTGTATTGCTGAACGATATATTGTTGAAGAAGCGGTTGAGTTTTGTACTGAATATCTGTCAAATGTTCAATCAATTGGACTCCCCAAATCTCATGTTGTTGAAAAAAAAGAAGGTAAGAAGCTAATTGGAAATAAAGTTGTGACAATATCAATGGTCGAATGGGATCAAGTGCATTTGTATGTTCTGCATAATGAGCTTGAAGTTGAGTCGTATGTTGAAATTCACAAGGGTGTTCTTTGAGGTTTAAATCCGAATAGAAATGAGAATTGGATTGTACGAGAGCACAATCGAAGTTTCATACCATGGTTTAAGGAACGTATTTATTCAAAGTATCGTTCAGATCATGCTTCAGTAACAGAAAGATTGAGATGTTTAGCATACGGTCCAAGTTTAGTTATTTTTTCTTATAGCGCATATGCAATTAATGGATACACATTTTATACCAAAGAAAAGGATGACAAAAGTACTATGCAAAATAGTGGTGTCACCTTAATCGCTGAAGCAATGCATATATCAAGTGTGAAGGACTTAAACCCAAAATTTGCAAATCTGTCATATTTTGGGGTTATCGAGCGCATTTGGATGTTTGATTGCGAGAAGTTTCAGATTCCTATATTTGGTTGCAAGTGGGTTGAAAATAATACTGGCATACGAATGGATAAGTCAGGTTTTTTGCAAGTGGATCTTAATAGGGTGGGGTACAAAGATGAGCCTTTCATTCTAGCCTCTCAAGCTAAACAAGTGTTCTATGTCAATGATCCGACAAGTACGAAATGGTCTATAGTGCTATTATCTAACAAAGTAATTGATGAAAGCATTGGAAATCAAAGTGATATTGGTGTTGACATTGAATCTTTAACCATAACTGATCAAAGTGATAATGAATCATGTATTAGAAACGATCATAATGAGGGTATTTGGATTAATCCAACTGTCCGCGTTGTTAAGAGACGAGTAGAACACATTCCTACCAAGAAAAGAAAGAGACCTTAGTGAAAAGGGTAATAGTATATATAATTATAGCCTATATCATTCAATAAAATTTAATTTGTCATTTCATTTTTATTTGTCATTTCATTTTTATTTTTCATTTCATTTTTATATTTGTCATTTCATTTTTATTTGTCATTTCATTTTTATTTGTCATTTCATTTTTATTTGCCATTTCATTTTTATATTTGTCATTTCGTTTTTATTTTTTTTCATTATTACAGGTCAAATGGCTAGTAATCAAGAAAACTCAAAAGATGCAAATGCTCCTGAAAATGCTCCTGAAAATACTCCAGAAAAGACTTCAGAAAAGACTTCAGAAAAAGATATTACACGAGGTATAACTATTATGAGGGGAATCATCCGTGATAGAGATAGAGGAGTAACATATAATGTAGATTGGAATGATAATGACCAACTAATTGGGTCTAATGCTGCAAAGTTGACAAGCTATATTGGTACGCTTGTTCTTATACACATTCCGATCACCACTCCTAGATGGAAAAGAGGAGAGTTGGATGAGGCTAAGGAGAAAGTTTGGACTGAGATAAAGGTACATATATGGTTTTTGTTATTTGCTTTATCTTGACGATAATATGTGTTTAAATTTATTTTACTAACACACTTTATGCGTATGTTTTTTTGTAGAGGTCTTTTAACATTGAAAATACCCGTAAAAAGTATATAATAGGTTTGGCTGGAAAAAGACACAAAGGGTGGAGAACATTTTTAACAAACAAGTATCTTAAAGATGATGAAGGAAATTTTCTTGAAGAGGATCCGGAACGTCCAAAGAAATATGAGAACTTCATTACACCTGAAGAATGGGTTGGTTTTGTAGGCCAAAGAAGAGACGAGAATTTCAAGAAAGTGAGTGCTATCAATCGCGAGAGAGCGTCAAAACCCGCATATCCATACAAAAAAGGGCGTTTGGGATATGCTCGCTTAGAGGGAAAAATTGTAAGTAAATATAAACTCTACGATCTTATTAATTCTATCAATGTGTTATAATTGATGATCTTAAGACTTGTGTCAATGCGTAGTTAGAAGAGACAAAAAGTGACGCAACATCACTACCGACACATTTGTTGTGGAAGGAAGCCCGTGTGGGCAAGGATCAAGCTGTTAATCCCGATATTCAACATGTGTATGATGAATGTGTAAGTATAAGATTGTGTCTTTAGTTAAATAAATTAATGTTTATTAATATTTAAATAATTTTTTATCTCCACTACTAATTTTCGATATGTAAATGAATTACAGGAGACCTTGTCGCAATCGGTATCCCCAGGTGAGGACCATCAGGATACCACGAGCGTACTTAGTCGAGCACTAAATATTGCTGAGTATCCGGGTCGGGTGAGGGGTAAAGGTCATGGTATGACTCCAACCTCTTTGTATAATTATCCAAGGAGAAGAAATCCTAGCAATGCAGAAGTGATGCAAACATTGCAGGATTTACAAGCTCAAGTCCGTGAATTGCAGAAGGATAAAGAGAGATATATGGCGGAAAAGAGCAGTTCACAATTGAAAGAAACTAGTGACAAAGCTAGTATCAACTGTCAGCATAAATTTCCCGAGGTAATTTTCAATATATATCCGTTATTATTATAGAATATTTTTAGTCACTTCTAACAGTTATTATTGGTTTAGGGCATTTCATCTTGCCAACTATATCTATCATCGCCGACTTATCGACTAGTTGGCAAGGGAAAAGTCCATAACACTTCGGGAGATTTACTTCACCATAGACCGCTTCCAGATGGACACATGAAAGTATCGGTTGACATTGCTTTAGATATGGATGCGTTGCTGCCGGTACCCGACATTGTTGCTGAGACCACATTGCTGCGAGATGCAATAGGATCTTTTTTTGCATGGCCATCGGACCTCATTTTCATAGATGATCAGGTATGTTGAACACAATTATGAATCTTTAAGTATTCAACTGTCAGTTCTGACCTCAGTTATTTCCATGGTAATTATAGACTCCTACAACACCCGCATCTAAGGGTAAAGGGATTTTGCGGCACGACGAGTCTGATGTATCACAAAAAGAGGTACGTTTAAAGTGTTAATTATATGATCCAAATAAAAAACTACATAATTTTATAATTTAACTGAGTCTATATGATTTTTAGGTACCTTTTCAAGGGTCACAACAAGTGAGCCAGAAGGTCGTTGGCGTACCACCCAAGAAAATGGTGCCTACTAGATTTTTCCCTCGATACCGGCAGTGTCTTGAAACAATAGTGGGAACAACAAATTTGATGGATGGTGGTATTCGTCAAATGAATATGGATCAAGGTATCTTTGGTTTTCCTTGCACCGAAATAATTGGACATGAGGACGTGGAATAGATTTTCCGTCATAAAGAATTTGGCATCAGTATTATGCACGCATACATCCGGTAACCCCCATCTTTATATTATGTAATTAGCTGAAATCTTTTTTAAATATTTCAATGAATATAGTCTTATATTAATTATGTTTTTATTTAAGGCTGTTATATGACAAATTGATGCGCGGGAATTAATTGTCAAACAGATTCCATTTCGTGTCTTCGTCCCGTGTCAGCGGAGCGACAATTGGTAGGGAACCGGAATTAGTAAGAGAGCACTTAGTCGAAAGATTCATGGCAACTGGCAGTACACAAAGCTTATATCTTTGGGTGTATAATACTATTCCTACAGGGTTAGAT